TTGTCTAAAGCGCGTCTTGTCATGGTCAGTGCGACGGACGCGATGCCTCGTGATGTACGCGAGGCTGCTGCCGGCCTGACTCGTCGCACTTCTTTCGCACCGTACGCGTAGCCAAAGGTGCAGAAGGGTGCCTTGAGCTTGACAAACAAACTGAACGCGACAAATAATGGTGTGTGTGGTGTATGTGGTGTGTGTGGTGTGTGTGGTGTGTGGTGTGTATGGTGTGTGTGGTGTATGGTGTGTATCGTGTGTGTGGTGTGTATGGTGTATATGGTCTGTATGGTGTGTATGGTGTGTATGGTGTGTGTGGTGTATGGTGTGTATGGTGTGTGTGGTGTGTATGGTGTGTATGGTGTGTGTGGTGTATGTGTTGTGTGTGGTGTATGTGTTGTGTGTGGTGTATGTGGTGTGCGTGGTGTATGGTGTGTGTGGTGTGTGTGGTGGGTATGGTGTATGTGGTGTGTGGTGTATGGTGTGTATGGTGTGTGTGGTGTGTATGGTGTGTATGGTGTGTGTGGTGTATGGTGTGTATGGTGTGTGTGGTGTATGTGGTGTGTATGGTGGGTGTGGTGTATGGTGTGTGTGGTGTGTGGTGTGTATGGTGTATGTGGGGTGTGTGGTGTATATGGTGTGTGGTGTGTGTGGTGTATGTGGTGTATATGATGTGTGTGGTGTATGTGTTGTGTGTGGTGTATGTGTTGTGTGTGGTGTATGTGGTGTGTGTGGTGTATGTGGTGTGTGTGGTGTATGGTGTGTGTGGTGTATGGTGTGTATGGTGTATATGGTGTGTATGGTGTGTATGGTGTATGTGGTGTGTGTGGTGTATGTGTTGTGTGTAGTGTATGTGGTGTGTGTGGTGTATGTGGTGTGTGTGGTGTGTGGTGTGTGGTGTGTATGGTGTGTATGCTATGTATGGTGTGTGGTGTGTATGGTGTGTGTGGTGGTGTGTATGGTGTGTATGGTATATGGTGTGTGTGGTGTGTGTGGTGTGTATGGTGTATATGGTGTATGGTGTGTATGGTGTGTATGGTGTATATGGCCTATGGTGTATATGGTGTGTATGATGTGTGTGGTGTATGGTGTGTATGGTGTGTATGGTATGTATGGTGTGTATGGTGTGTGGTGTGTATGGTGTATGTGGTGTGTGTGGTGTATATGGTGTGTATGGTGTTCATGGTGTGTGGTGTGTATGGTGTGTATGGTGTATGTGGTGTGTGTGGTATGTGTGGTGTATATGGTGTTATGGTGTTCATGGGGTGTATGGTGTGTATGGTGTATATGGTGTTTGGTGTGTATGGTGTGTATGGTGTATATGGTGTATGGTGTGTATGGTGTGTATGGTGTATGGTGTGTGGTGTGTATGGTGTATGTGGTGTGTGTGGTGTATATGGTGTGTATGGTGTTCATGGTGTGTGGTGTGTATGGTGTGTATGGTGTATGTGGTGTGTGTGGTATGTGTGGTGTATATGGTGTTTATGGTGTTCATGGTGTGTATGGTGTGTATGGTGTATATGGTGTTTGGTGTGTATGGTGTGTATGGTGTATGGTGTGTATGGTGTGTACGGTCTATTGTGTGTGGTATGTATGGTGTGTATGGTGTGTGGTGTGTGGTGTGTGTATGGTGTGTATGGTGTGTATGGTGTATGGTGTGTGGAGTGTATGGTGTGTATGGTGTGTATGGTCTTTGTGGTGTGTATGGTGTTTATGGTGTGTGGTGTGTATGGTGTGTGGTGTGTGTGGTGTGTGTGTGTGGTGTGTGTTGCGTATGGTGTATGGTGTGTGGTGTGTATGGTGTGTATGGTGTATGGTGTGTGGAGTGTATGGTGTGTATGGTGTGTATGGTCTTTGTGGTGTGTATGGTGTTTATGGTGTGTGGTGTGTGATGTGTATGGTGTGTGGTGTGTGTGGTGTGTGTGTGGTGTGTGTGTTGCGTATGGTGTATGGTGTGTGGTGTGTATGGTTGTATGGTGTGTATGGTCTGTGTGGTATGGTGTATGGTGTGTGGTGTGTATGGTGTGTGGTATGTATGGTGTATGGTGTGTATGGTGTGTGGTGTGTGGTGTGTGGTGTGTATGGTGTATGGTGTGTGGTGTGTGTGGTGTGTGTGTTGTGTATGGTGAATGGTGTGTATGGCGGCTGGTGTGTATGGTGTGTATGGCGTATGGTGTGTATGGTGTGGTGTGTGGTGTGTATGGTGTGTGTGGTGTATGGTGTGTGGTGTGTATTGTTTGTGTGGTGTGTGGTGTGTATGGTGTGTATGGTGTGTATGGTGTGTGGGGTGTATGGTGTATATCGTTTGCGGTGTGTGTGGTGTGTGTGGTGTGTATGGTGTGTATGGTGTGTGGTGTGTATAGTCTGTGGTGTGTGTGGTGTGTATGGTGTGTGGTGTGTGTGGTGTGTATGGTGTATATGGTCTGTGGTGTGTGTGGTGTGTGTTGTGCATGGTGTATATGGTGTAAATGGTGTGTGGTGTGTGTGGTGTGTATGGTGTGTGGTGTGTATGGTGTGTACTGTGTATGGTGTGTATGGTGTGTATGGTGTGTGTGGTGTGTGGTGTGTGGTGTGTGTGGTGTGTGTGGTGTTTGTGGTGTGTATGGTGTGTGTGGCGTGTGAGTGTTGACACTAAACACAACAACAACCAGTTCTATCAACAAACGAGTTCGTCAATCCCACACGACGATTTAAAAGTGCATCACAGCTCCCGGTGCCTTCCTAATGTCGAGACGAAGAGCGTTCCAGACGGCCCACCGGAAGCGCATCCCGAGAGTAACGCGCCACGTGGAGTGACCGCCGCGTCGAGTGACGGTGCCGCCTCGTGCCCCTCGACGCGATCGCCCAAAGCTGCCGTGGTTCATCGGTGGCGAGCACTTTTGCGCGGAGCGAGTGGCACCAGGGGCACTTGAACGGGATAAGCCGCGCGGTATTCCGCTTCGACAACCCACTCGAGATCAGCGGCGATCGCCTTCTCCGCTCGGGAGTTGGGAGGCCAATTGATCTGTTGATGGGCTTGTCGGCCTTTCGTCGCCGTGAAGCTCCCCATGGGTTCAAGCACGCGGAGCAGCGCTTGGATCTGTTCAAGTCCCGTCTTGAAAATGCACCTCTTTACACTGCCCTTCAACACCTGAGGTCTGGAAATTCACCCTCGCGCGGGTTCTGAGCGAGTTTGGCGGGTGGGTGAGCGAGCGATTGGGTGAGTGGTTGAGTGGGTGGGCGAGTGGGTGAGTAGGTGGGTGAGTGGGTGAGTGAGTGGGTGGGTGGGTGAGCAAGTGGGTGAGTGAGTGAGTGAGCGAGCGAGTGGGTGAGTGAGTAGTTGAGTGATTGAGTGAATGGGTGAGTGAGTAAATGAGTGAGTGGGTGAGTAGGTGGATAAGTGAGTAGGTGGGTGTGTAGTTGAGTGAGTGAGTGTAGTTGAGTAGGTGAGTGGGTGCGTAGGTGGGTGAGTGAGTGGGTGAATGAGTGGGTGAGTAGGTGGGTGAGTGAGTAGGTGGGTGTATAGTTGAGTGGGTGAGTGTAGTTGAGTAGGTGAGTGGGTGCGTAGGTGGGTGAGTGAGTGGGTGGGTGAATGAGTGAGTGAGTGGGTGAGTGAGTGGGTGAGTAGGTGAGTTTGTGAGTGGGTGGGTGAGCGAGTGAGTGAGTGATTGAGTAAACTGGCCTTTCCCCCCCCAGCTCTGCCTTTTTGCCCTTCAGGTTCTGAGCGAGGGGGTGGGTGAGTGAGTGAGCGAAAGGGTGAATGAGTAGTTGAGTGGGTGAGTGAGTGAGTAGGTAGGTAGAGTGGATGAGTGAGTGGGTGAGCGAGTGGGCGAATAGGTAGGTGGGCGCGTGAGTAGTTTGCTGAGTGGGTGAATAGGTGGGTGAGTGGCTGGGTGGGTAGGCGGGTGAATGAGCGGGTGGGTGAGTGGCTGAGTGAGTAGGTGGGTGGGTGAGCAACTGAGTGAGAGAGTAAACTGGCCTTTCCTCCCCCAGTTCTCGGCGTTTACCCTGCATGTTCTGTTCTTATCGGCCTAAGTTCCGCCCGCCCTCACCGCTCAGAAAATAAGCCAAAAAGACTGCGCTCCAGCCTTTGTAATTTGTATCAAACTTAATACCTCTGGCAACATTGAGGTCCCCGTCGTATCGGTTCGAATGGGGGGGGGTCGGTGCGATCGCTGGTTGACGTGGGATCTGTGAGCAGTGATGGGAATCTCAGTGAAGTGGGAGGGAGGGAGGGAGTGTGTGTCGGGGTCAGTCACACGCGACCCTTATAAACTCGCCGTGCTGCGCGCGCGTGTCCAGTTGGTTGCAGCAATCGCAGTCAAGAGAGAGAGAGCTGCTGCTGCTGTGTGTGCTCTGTGTGTGTGTGGGGGGGGTTGTGGTTTGTACACCGTGCGCTCTGCAAGCTCCCGCGTGAACGCGCACACACACAGAGTGGGCACACAGAGTGGGCACACACTGAGTGGACACACACACAGAGTGGGCACACACTGAGTGGACACAGAGTGGACACAGAGTGGACACACACACAGAGTGGGCACACACACACAGAGTAAGTACACAGAGTGGATACACAGAGTGGGCACACACTGAGTGGACACAGAGTGGGCACACAGAGTGGACACAGAGTGAACACACAGAGTGGGCACACACACAGAGTGAACACACAGAGTGGACACACACACACACAGAGTGAACACACAGAGTGGACGCACACACACAGAGTAAGCACACAGAGTGGGCACACACACACAGAGTGGACACACAGAGTGGACACACAGAGTGGGCACACACACAGAGTGGACACACACAGAGTAAGCACACAGAGTGGGCACACACTGAGTGGACACACAGTGGACACACAGAGTGGGCACACACACACAGAGTGGACACACAGAGTGGACACACACACACACACAGAGTGGACACACACACAGAGTGGACACACACACAGAGTTGACACACAGAGTGGACACACACAGAGTGGACACACACACACACAGATACACCCAGAGTGGACACACACACAGACACAAAGACTAGGAGACATACACACATAGACACATGGATACAGACATAAAGACACACATATAGATATTTCATACACAGATAAAGACACATTGACACAAACAATACATACACACACACACGCGTAGATATATGGGCACGTAGACTCAGACAGAAAGACCAGCACATAGATGAGCGTGCATATCGACATGAACACACAGAGACACGCACAGACCAACATACACACATTCAGCCGTAAACATAGACACACACGCTCACAGAGAGACATTGAAACCGACGCAAGTATTGCTACTGCCAGGGACAAGCGCACATAGACAACAGAGACACTCACACATAGACAAATCATACATAAACACACGAGGGCAGTGTGTCTTTACTGTCATTCATACGCATAGCACGCAGACAGACACGTGCTGCAGACAGACAGGCAGGCAAGGCTTCGCCCCTCGACGAAGAGTCGGTTAGACACGGGGATTCGGCGTCTCTGCGTCTCGTGTCTCAGCCGTGTCTCCACGATGCCTGGGAAGACAGCCAACAAGAGCGTGAGTTCCCATCGCACTTAGACACGCGTGTCCCTGCACGAGTGTCTGTGTGAACGCAATTGTCCTCTCTCTGTGTGTGTGTGTGTCTACGTGGGGAGAGCGGTGGCGCAGCGGTTAGCGCTACGCTGCGCTACGAACCCGCCGGCCCCGAGTTCGATTCCCGCTCACGGCCACCAACACCAACACCGGTGACGATTATCTGAACCGGTTCTGGGCCTCCCCTTGGTCGACTCAGCCTCAAATGAGCACCTGGTGCGATGTGTAGTAAACATCGCCGCTGGGGAGACAAAGGTGGCCCGGCGTGGTGCTGACCACCCACCTCCTCGTGTGCCGTGCCGACCTGCATAGGTGCTACTCGCGAACAGCACTTGCCCCGACAGTCTGTTAAGGCTATACGGGAGATCTTTGCCTTGCGCGGTGGGGCAGTTGCGGACAGATCGGAGTCGTTTCCGTACCTGGGCCAGTGGATGTATCACTCTGAAATCAGTGGAGCGGCATTGTCTTTTCAACGGCTGCGTAACGCTGCGGTGCGGGAGCCACCTGGCCTGTGGCTCCACACGAAGCTTCGTCTCTTCTCGGCCACAGTCGTGTGCCCTCACTCTCTCTCTCCGCTTGCGAAACGTGGACCGCCTCTAAAGGAACACCTGCGCCGGTTAGAAACGCTGAGGCTGCCCTGGCAAACCAGGCTGGCTTAACGAGGCTGGATTGTGCGAGGAGCTCACCACACATGCTTGAGAGATCTGGACACAGTGCCATCATCAGTGAGCTCCTCCGGCAGGCGAGGCTGCGTCGGCTTGGGTCACGTAGCCCGCATGCCCAGCCCACTGCACGCTCAATCAGCTTCTGTTTGGCTGGGTAGAGGGGGCTAAACGGGCTCGGCACGGGCTACAGAAGAGATGGAGCTGAGCGGACTTGCCGACGACTGGTACCAGCGGTGTCAAGATCGACCTCTGTGGAGGAGGCTCGTGAAGGACGCTGCTGGGCAGTTGGAGGCAGTCGCCCTCCAACAACAACGGAGGGCGGAGGAGCGACGCTCACAACAACGAGCGGGGCACCGGGCGGATGAAACACAGCAAGTTGGCACAGTGGGGAGCATAGATGGTGCATCAGTCATCTCAGCCAGTCAACCCATGGCACCTGGGGTCTGTCCCGTGACCTCCTTCGACACTTCACGTGGCGTCAAAGTGCACCTAGCCTGGCACAGGCGCCGTGGTGATGTCACCACAAGAGAATGGCGGCGGCGGTGGCTGATGTTGTTGTTGGTGTGTAACGCGTGGTGGGCGTGGTGCTGGCCACCCACCCACTCGCCCAACGCCCTCGTGCGCCGTGCCCGCACTCAGAAGCAACTCGCCCCAACAGTCCGTAGAGAGGCGATACGGAGTGAGGGTTCTGTGTCTCTGAGCGTTATGCGTGGAGTTTGTACGTTCTCCCCCCCCCCACCCCTCCAATGCTGAACCGACACACACCACAGCGTCACCGTGTATCGGCAAAACAACACCCGTGTATATGTTGAGTATGTACATTCACTATATATGTAAAAAAAGACAAAGATCCCCCGTGTAGCCTGCACAGACTGTTGTGGCAAGTGCTGTTAGCGAGCACCTGTGAAGGCCGGCACGGCACACGAGGGGGTGGGTGGCCAGCACTCCCTTTAAGAGTGTGCTCCTAATCTCAGCTCGTTACCTGTATAAAAGACACCTGGGAGCCATAAATCTTTCTGATTGAGAGGGGGTCAAATACTTATTTCCCTCATTAAAATGCAAATCAATTTATAACATTTATGACATGCGTTTTTCTGGATTGTTGTTGTTATTCTGTCTCTCACTGTTCAAATAAACCTACCATTAAAATTATAGACTGATAATTTCTTTGTCAGTGGGCAAACGTACAAAATCACCAGGGGATCAAATACTTTTTTTCCCTCACTGTATACACACAGACACGTGTGTTTTGACGTCGTGTGAGTAGTATCTCGCTTCGCGCTACAAATGTCACGTGTTCATTAATTTGGCCATTGTAATCATTAAGAACATGAGATATGTACGTCGCTTTGAAAAATGCGCGGAGACTTCGTTACCTATCCGACCTCGGCCTTAATTAGAGAGAGAGAGAGGGGGTGGGGGGGTCAGAGAGAGAGAGAGAGGTGGGTCTGCTGGAGCAGAGAAATAAGCATGTCAATGAGAGAGCTGTGTGGAAATCCACCCCGCGGCGGCAGGGGGGAGAGACAGACCCAGCAAGTCTGGTAAAAAAAAAGAAAATTGAGAGAGCTGTGTGGAAATCCACCCCGAAGCGGCCGGGGTAGAGAGAAACAGCGAATGGACCTATGAGAGCCTGGTACATTTTTAGAGGCAGAAGTAGGCAGTTAGAGAAAACAACCTCAGCAAATTGTTGGAAATGTAATGCAATGCAACGCAGAGGAGAGTCGGCTAACACACCGTTGACGCATCGCCTGGTTGGTCCGACCTCTGGTAATGATTCGTGAACCGGCCGGCTGTCCTGTAACAGTCAATGACATTCCGACCGTCATTCCCCCCCCTCTCCGTCGTGCATGTTTAACGGGCACTTCAATCTGTGCACGCACGAGAGCGGCCTTGGGAAGTCTTGAAGATGGGAAATCGACGTTCCTATGACAGGGGCCGGGCTATAGACATTGCCGCTGTTCGTGACCCAGCGGATCTCGCGACTAGACGATGGGAGTGGTGATGCTGGATGTGTTAACGATGATTTATACTGCTGATGATGATGGTGATGATTGTGAGTGATGGATGAAGATGGACACGATGCAACATGGTCATGAATGTTATGATAGTATTGATTTGAAGCTTTCGTAACTGCACGAATCCATACTCTTTGGTTATTTCGGTAAAGTCATCACGTAGTTAGAAATAAAATAAAACCAATCACGATGCTTCGATTGCAACACAAGCGATCATCATCAGGTGTGAAAACCGCAGCCCGCTGCAGCAATCTTTTTTCTTGCTGTGCTTTTCACACCTGATGATGATTGCTTGTGTTGCGATCAAAACGTCGTGATTTGTTTAATTTTATTTCTAAATACGATGCTGAATGTGTTGACGATGATTTCTACTGCTGCTGCTGCTGCTGATGATGATGATGATGATGATTGTGAGTGATGGATGAAGATGGACACGATGCAACATGGTCATGAATTTTATGATAGTGTTGATGATCATCGCATGTTTGATGATGATGATTAATGTGATGATGTGATAATGACGCCGCTGCTGCTGATGATGATGATGACGAATGTGATAATAATTATCGTGCTGATGACGATAACGAACGTGATGATGACGTGATTACGCTGTTGTTGCTGCTGCTGATGATGAATGTTACGATGGTGCGAATGCCACTGGTGCTGATGATGATTATAATCGTGCTGATGATGGTGATGTTAACTGGCAAGATGACGTACTAATTACATTGAAACAGAATAAAAACACAACAAACAGTATTTCTGCTCAAACGAGTTTTTTACGGCTCTGTTTGAGCCAGTGGTGGAAATTCCACATTCCCATGCCGGGGGCCAGTACACCATAGAACAACCACAGCGGACGTCTCCCAACGGGGTTCGAAATCCGCTTCCTTTTCAATTCGACATTCACGTGGCAGAGCCGAGTATGTCCCGAGGAACGCGCATTGTAGTCTCTCTGGAAGGTGCAGTTTTTCTTGTCAATTCCACATTGCTGTGACGGGAGCTCCTTTATCTAGAGGAGTGGCTAGCTGGCTTACAGCGATGGTGTTTACGCGGACCCTGAGTCGCGGTGCAAAGGTCAAGGGGCTGGTCACGTCCATACAGTAATCACAGTGCATAATAAACAACAGGCAGCATTGTCATCATTATTATCGTCATCATCATGATCATCGTCATCAGCAACATTCTCGACATCATCAGCATCATCATCGTGATCATCGTCCTCAGCAACATTCTCAACATCATCATCGTGATCATAGTCATCAGCAACATTCTCAACATCATCATGATCATAGTCATCAGCAACATTCTCAACATCATCATGATCATAGTCATCAGCAACATTCTCAACATCATCATCATGATCATAGTCATCAGCAACATTCTTTACATCAGCATCATCATGATCATAGTCATCAGCAACATTCTCAACATCATGATCATAGTCATCAGCAACATTCTCAACATCATCATCATGATCATAGTCATCAGCAACATTCTCAACATCATCATCATGATCATAGTCATCAGCAACATTCTCAACATCATCATCATCATCGTGATCATAGCCATAAGCAACATTCTCAACATCATCATCATGATCATAGTCATCAGCAACATTCTCAACATCATCGTAAGCATAATCATCAGCAACATTCTCAACATCATCATCATGATCATAGTCATCAGCAACATTCTCAACATCATCATCATGATCATAGTCATCAGCAACATTCTCAACATCATCATCATCATCATAATCATAGTCATCAGCAACAGTCTCAACAGCATCATCGTGAGCATAGTCATCAGCAACATTCTCAACATCATCATGATCATAGTCATCAGCAACATTCTCAACATCATCATCGTGATCATAGTCATCAGCAACATTCTCAACATCATCATGATCATAGTCATCAGCAACATTCCCAATATCATCATCATGATCATAGTCATCAGCAACATTCTCAACATCATCATGATCATAGTCATCAGCAACATTCTCAACATCATTATCATTATGATCATAGTCATCAGCAACATTCTCAACATCATCATCATGATCATAGTCATCAGCAACATTCTCAACATCATCATCATCATGATCATAGTCATCAGCAACATTTTCAACATCATCATCGTGATCATAGTCATCAGCAACATTCTCAACATCATCATCATCATGATCATAGTCATCAGCAACATTCTCAACAGCATCATCGTGAGCATAGTCATCAGCAACATTCTCAACATCATCATGATCATAGTCATCAGCAACATT